TCAGGCGCACCGCCGAGTTGGCACCCTGACGCAGCATTGTAGCACCCAGACCGCGGTAGAGTCCAGCAATGCCCTCGGCACCGACGATCTTGCGTACGGCATCCACGCCGCCGCTGTACTTGCGCAGATGCTTGGGCTGAAGCGAGTCTTGGATCATGCGTGTCTTGATTGCTTCGGACGGTGTTACCGCCAGCAGCGCCTCGGCCGAACCAGCCAAAAATCCTGCCACGATGGATCGACCCATGCCCAGCTTCTCCTTGCCTGCTCCCTGCGCTGTGGCCTTGGGCCGAAGCAGGTTCTGAATCGTGTCGTAGGTGAGGAAACGCACGCCAGCCTTGGCCGAGTTGCCCGTCACCATGGCTCCTGCGCCGCGGAAGAAGCCGGTGACTCCGTGCGCTCGCCAGGTGTCGCGCACGATCTGCATGGCTGATGCGCCGGCCTTGGGCATGGAAGGCGCAGAGGGTGCCATCGCCGCAGCTTGCGAGGCCATGTTGAGCTTGTGCGCCGGCAGCGCACCGTATGAAATGAAGCGCACCGAGCCTGCCGCACCTTTGACCTTGGGCTGAGCATCAGCGAAGGAAGACGAGGCCTGGCTGCTGCTTGCTGCATTCGATGCGAGCTGCGCCTGCGTCTTGACAAATTCGGTCGGGTATGTGAGGAAGCCCTCGACGGCGCCAGCGAAGGTACCCGCCATGAGCGAATGCATCGCCGTGGGTCTGGAGCGCTTGTCGGATGATGACATGATTGCTGGTGTGTGCTGTGCAAGTCTTCTGTGTATCGAATGTGTCTAGCGACGATAGAGTAGCAAGTCGATACGCCTGATGGGTGTGAGTATGGGAGGTGCTGAGTTTGACGATCCGGCGGCTCGACTCCGCCCGGCGACTGCCTTTATAACAATATGCTTTGGTTCACAGATGCGAGGCCAGCTCAGAGATGGGTCCTTCTCCGCGTTGCTGTGAGTTCTCCTGCTGGCTTGTATGGAGGATGCTGCCGGCTTGAACCGCGGTGGCCAACGGAGTCCTATCCGTGAACCAATACGGAGGTCAACTCGCCGATGTTTCCGCGATCAACTCGGCAAACGGACTTGAGGTGGTGGAGGCTGCGTGCGGGGGTTCCGGAGGGCCGAAACCCATGCTTGCGACCAATGCCATCCCTCTCGGGACCGCAGCTTGCCAACTGCTAAATCCGCCACGTCCGTTAGGCAGTGCTCGAACTTGAGCGCAAGGGCCGACGCAGTGGCTTGGGCAGCTGAATAGCATCACAGCGGGATGGTGTATTCGGGTCAGGGACGGAAACGGAGCGAGAAGGGACGGAGACGGAGTGACGGAGCAGACTGACGGAGCAACGGAGCAACCAAAGCATAGTTGACGGACTGACGGAGAGTATCTCCGTTGCTCCGTCTCTGCTGTGCTTCCGGTGCGACATTTTTTCTTCACTCTTTGACGTTGGCCACTCGCCATGTGGGGCTCCGCGGGAAAACTTCCCCGCTTCAGCGGCAATCTTGGGGCACTCGGGCAGAGGACGAGGACATTGTTCACGGACGTCCCGCGTGTGCTCATGTGCTCGTGGTTGGGTCCCATCAGGAACGCGCATTTGCAAGCTCGCCAGAGGCACGCGGAAGGCCCCTTGGTACAGTCAAGCCATGTTGTGCTGCTTGTGGCAAGCTGGGGTACCTGACCGCCGCCATCCCCTCTTTCTTTCGTCTCCTCCATTCGTCTCGTTCCTGCAGCCCCACTAGCTCCCTCCATGCCGGCAAGAAGAACGGAGCTATGCCGTACACGGTAGCATCCATGCGGTAGCTAGCACCCCCTTCCGACGGACCCTGCGCTCCGCTGCAACTTTGCCAACTGTGCGGCCGACGTCTCCGGCCTTCCCCACTCGCGGACTGCTTTCGTATAAGACCTCGATGGTCTTGCCTGTCTCGCTCTTTTGTGGGGCCCCTCTTCTCATCAAACCAAAGCCATCCGAGCTCACACTCAAGCGCTCCAAGCTACCTCCTCTCTCAGGCGCCGCATCTATCCTCTCCATCCATCGACACAATGCAAAAAGCTCCCAACAAGCGATGGGTGCCGTCCAAGCTGCGTCACATCCATGAGGTGCCGTCGCAGTCGATGAACTGGCGCCTGCTGCTCGCAGTGCTCACCATGGGCCTGCTCGGTGCCAGTCGAGGCATGGACGAAGGTGTCATCTCCGGATCCATCGGTACTCCAGCCTTCGAACATGCCTTCAACGTCAAGAAGAAGTCCACCAAGGAGTCCAACATCGTAGCCATGGTCCAGCTCCTCTCCACACTCGGTGCCCTGGTCGGCTACGCCGTCTCGGACAAGTTCGGCCGTGTCATGGCCGGTCGCCTGAGCTGCACGCTCATCATCATCGGCAGCGCCATGTGGATGGGCAGCGCCGAACGCATCGCGCTGCTCTACGTCGCCCGCATGGTGACCGGTGTCGGTGTCGGCATCTCCTCGGTCTGCTCCCCCGTCTTCCTCGTCGAGACCGCTCCGCGTCAGATCCGAGGTCTCTGCACGTCGGTCTACAGTGCTTCCATCTACCTCGGCGCCATGCTCGGCTACGCCGTCAACCTGGGAGCGTCGCGCACCCAGAACAGGCGCAACAACATCGTGTGGCAGATCGTGCTCATCCTTCCCATCCTCTGGCACGCCATGCTCCTCATCGGAACCTTCTTCATCCACGAGTCGCCTCGATGGCTGCTCGACCACGGACACGTCGAGAAGGCGCACCGCTCGCTCCGATTCTACCGCAACCTCGACGAGGACCACCCGGCGATGATCGAGGAGACCAACCTCATGCGTACCTCGATCGCCGAAGAGCACTCGCGTCACACCCAACGCCAGGAGGCGCTTCCCGCCAACTCGATCTACAGGCGCAGCAACACGTTGCTCAAGCTCAACGCCGTCTTCACCAGCCGCAAGAACCTGCTCAAGGTCGGACTCGGCGTCATGATCCAGGTGCTCGTCCAGTGGGGTGGTCCCGGTGCCATTGCGACGTATGCCAACCGCATCATGACGCTCGTAGGCGCCTCGGACAAGAACGGCTACGTCATGTCGGTCGGCTTCGGTGCAACCAAGCTTGGCTGTGGTGTCCTGTCCGCCTTCTTCCTGGTCGATCTGTTTGGCCGCCGCAAGACGCTGCTGTGCGGTGTCCTGATCCAGGGTCTCTCCATGCTCTACGTTGCCATCTTCCTCGGTCTCTACGTGCAGGGCAACCACACCAAGGGCGAAAAGACGGCTGGCGAGGCTGCCCTCGCCGCCATCTTCTTGTCCGGAGCCAGTTTCTCGGCCGGTGGAAACCTGGCGCAGTACCTTGTGGGCACCGAGATCTTTGAGGTGCACGTGCGAAGTATCGCTACGTCGCTCGTCATGGCCATGCACTATCTGCTCCAATTCTCGGCGACGAGGGCGCTGCAGCCCATGCTCAACTCGGAAATGGGTGGAGCGGGCACCTTTGCCCTCTACGCTGCCGTCTCGCTGGTCCTCGCTCTTCCCTTCTACGCGCTCTTCCTGCCCGAGACCGCAGGCCTGCCGCTCGAGGAGATCGACCAGGTTTTCGAACGTCCCGTCTGGCAGATGGCACGTGCCGCACGAGCCAAGCCCCACGTCGACGAAGACGCCATCTACGACGTCCAGTCCTCCTCGTCGTCGTCGACGGGCGATGACGAGAAGAAGGTCGATCTTCAGTCCAACGTCCAGGTCCGCACCACCGCCTAGATCCGCCCCTTTGTATTCTACTGTCTGTCTTTCGGTGCTCCATGTCATGCGTTTCTGTTTTGTAATGCAACTCTCGAATCTAAATGTCGTAACCAGGAGAAAAGTCAATGATGCACCGACTGTGGGCTCCGACTGTGGAAGGTTGCTTTGAGCCTGCGCGACTGCGCATCGACCGTCGCGATTCAAGTTCATCTTACCGTGTGGAACGGTGGGCTCGGGCGCGCTTCATGATCGTTTCCGAGCTTAATGGGTCGGAACGAAGGTTCGCGCGCATACTCTGCCCGTACTTGAAAGGGCCCCGCATCCGTGAACCCGCCTATGGATGCCGAGCCTTTTTGGTGGGTCCCGGCTGCAGCCGGTTCGTATCACCGGAGTGCCAAGAGCTGTGCCCCCATGTCGCCGAAAGAGGCGCTGGTACACGGCTTAGATGCCAACAAGCTCGCTTTCCCATGCAGTGCAGTTGAAGAGCCGCGCTGGAACTCTATTTGCCCTTCTCATTGCATACGAGGGCGCGATCTGCCTTAGGATGGGCTTGCATTCGATTGTCGAGTCGGCAACTATGCAGGGCCCTGTCCATACAATGCCCACTGTTGGTGGGCTCGGCCTGAATGATTGAGATTGGTTACTTGGTAGAGCGCTCAATTCATGATGTGATGTCGGCTTACACCTCATTTCATTCGACCACGCATCGTGTGGACTCGCACATTGTGTGTCTCAAGAACGGCTGTAGCACGGCGGTGACAGCCGTGCCCACTACATTTCTCTCACTGTGTCTCGCACACAGCATGCTCGCGTTCAGCGTTCAGTTCCTAGCATATCGCTGCTTGTCACAATTGCTGCGCTGCCCCGCGGCTCCGTGCTCCCACACCATCGACGTTCGAAGGTCCGGCATTGTGCCAACTTCCGACATTGACTTCGTTACGCTCGTCCGGCTGCCACAGCCGCCCATCCTTCTTGCCGATTCAGAGCTCAACGATCGACACGGCCTGCATCGCTACCACAGCCGCCTTTTCATTTTACACCGTCACTCTACTCTGTCGACAACGCGAGGCAAACGACACTGGTCTCCTCTTTTCGAGCGGCAACCTCGAGCTACGGCCGCATCTGGATCGATTGAGAGCGGCTTTCTCGCGCTGACGAGGCTCCTCAGGCCTTGTCTCCACGAGCGGATGCACGCTCTTCTCGCAGGCTCTGATCAGAGCATATCAGCGTCGAGTCTCGGCCAGGTCCTGTTCTTGCCGTCATCAATCATCTCTGTCATCATCTACTCCCATCATGCGTCTTTTCCTCTCTTTCGCTCTTCTCGTCATCACGGCTGGCTTGCTTGCGCAGGCGTCGAGCTTGGCCGATTTGGCAGCCAGGCATGGCTATCTCTGGGATGGCGTGACCTTTCCGACCCCCATCCCTCCTTACATTGCCAACAACGGAACGACGGCGCTGGACGTGGCCAAATGTCTGGAAGGCACGGGCCAGTACCACATCGATGTCGAAGAGGAAATGTACATCGTCATGTACTTGGAAGAGTCGCACGAGGCCAACATCGTCAACTGTCTCTTTCTCACCGCCGCCGGTATGCGCGTCGCTCACCAACATCGTGATGACCTTGCCACACTGCCCACTGCACCTCACGAGCCGAGCAGCCAGGGAGTCACGTTTGGCCTCAACATCGACCCGAACGCGGTGATCCCTCCTACGTGTGCGCCGTCGGATTTTCAGTCGGGGGCCCTAGCAACCAATCAAACCAAGATGGTGACTAGCGGCCCCAGTTCCTTTGGGTACAACGCACTCGCCTTTAAGGACGATACCCAGTGCACGTAGCGTATCGACAACAATGATGGATTCATTGCCGGCGACACCGATTGCATTATTACGCTGCGAGGCACACCGGCCTGGAGGTCAGTGCAGGTTTATCCCGCCCCTTGTGCCGTGTACTATGCGCGATTCTACGTTCACCACCGGTGCAGCAGATTCGGCACGGGCGGCTCTGCAAGACTGGTCTCATTCGCGGTCTACCCGCGTAGTCCATTGAACCAGTTGTGCTGCCATCGAAGGACGCACTCGTTCTGTGGAGTGCTCAACTCCAACACGCCCTGTCAGCGACACGAATCTCGCACCGTGGTCTCATGCCCGTAGAAAGTCGTCGATGGCCTGCCATCCAAGCTCAGTGATCACCATCTCAGCCACGACAAGTACTGCTAGCTTGCTCTCAGCCGTCCACCCTTCATGCGCGCACTGAGTATATAGGCGCTTGCATTGCTTTGTCTCAGCGCATGGCTTTGGTGATCGTGTTTGGCGGCTCGTTCGAGGCGAACAACCTTGGTCTTTGCCTACGCCAGCGCTCACACGCTTAGTCTCTTGATCGTCATTCCTCATCATTCGCACTCCCGCAGCAATCCACCTTTGTCATCCCAGCCAGGGCTTGCTCGTCGTTCGTAGATACTGAGCATCGGCGCATGAATCTGCCCATGCCAAGTCGATCCAGGTCGGCAGGAACCAAGCATTGGCTGCGTGTGCTTAATCCGCTTGCCAGCAAGCTTTGATCGAGTGAATGTGGTGGATGTGGCGCGGTGATTGTGACTGTGATGGCGATGTTGGTGTATGATTGTAAGGCGTTGCCGTTGCAGCTGAGCTGAGCGTGCTCAGCAAGCGCTAGTCGGCCAGGTCGATCAATCTACTTCTGATTGCAAACATCACGACGCTGTACACGGTTGTATTGTCAGGCATCACCTCGCCGACGCTGCTGTCGCCGCCAGAGCGATCTGCTGGCTGTGCAAGCAAAGCGACCGTCTGCCTCCACGCTGGTACGGCCACGGTACTCTACTCCGTCCCGTGCTCCTTGATGGACATGCCTCAGTTCGTGCTCTCGGCGCTGTGACCACAAGCTTGTTCACCGCCATCTTAAACGAGCTGGAATGTCACCGGTGCAGCCTCGCGGACATGGTCAAGGAGCTGCCCCTGACCTCACCAACCTGGGAAAGCCAAGCTCGGGTCGGGTGGTTGTCGGATTCGGCTTGTGCAGGCGGTGTCTCCGGCTAAATTAATTTCGGGCCATCAGGCACGGATCAGCCGAGGCGGTCAGCGCCGGTGGTCGAGCACCACAGCTTCACACTCACTTCCTCCTCCCAGTTCAGCACCACCTCCCCAGCCATGACGGCGCTCTCTGCACTCATATCCTTGCTTTGGCACGTTGGACAAGCGGCGCTCACCGTCTCTCCATTCATCGTCATCATCGGGCTGACCAGAACGCCTAGGAATGCCGTCTACATCACGCCCGAGACTCTGGTGCTCATAACCGTCTCTTATGCGCTCAGATACGGAGATGACGCATCCCGCCATCTGTTTGCTTTGGGGCAGCTGGGTGCGGGCTTGTACCTCGTAGGCATGGCTGTGGCATCGGCCATGGCATTTCGCATCCGCGCTCGCGTCAGCATGCCCAAGACTCAGGCCATCCCAGTTCGAACCTCTGCCGACAACGTCAGCACCGAGGATGACGCGCCTCCTCCTGCCAACAATCGCATCTCCCAACAGCTCAACAAGAACAGCATAGTCTGCATTCTGTGCTATCTCGGCGGCATTCTGATCCATAACTCTACCGTCGCTCTCTTTGGCTGGCTTGGCATACGCTTGTTCGGGACTCCGAAACCCTTAAGTGCCATCTGGCTCGAACACTGGTCTGTCTCCGTATCAGCGCTCCAGATCGTCGCCTTGTGGCCACAGTATGAGCTCATGATTCAGATCAACAAGGCGAAAGCAAGCTTGCCGCATCCAGATCTCCCGCTGCCAGAGGGTCTCAGTCAGGACGAGCAAAGCAGAAGATTCGAAGCGCCAAAAATGCTCTGGGCTTTCCTGGTGGCATTTCAGGGTGGAACGGCGATCATGTTCCCCAGCTTGTTGATGCAGGGGATCGAGGCCAAAGGGCGTGACGATCCGCTGGTGGTCACGACCACGATAGCAGCCTTCCATATGATCGTACTTCTAGGGCTCGTCGCAAGGCTCAAGATCCTGCCGCCGGGACGGCTCATTACGTCCGAGGAAGCACAAGCGGCCGACCAAGAGGCTGGCATCAGGCTCGGATAATGACACCACTTCCGGCTGAATCGACCATACTTTAACAGCCTCACACTGTCGATCTGCGCATCTGTTTGTGCTTCGTCGCATGTCGGTTGATGAACACAGGGCGGCATGAGTCGTCAAAGGGTGCATGTCACAGAATCGCCAAGACCCCAAGCGCGCGGTGCTGGGTCGTGGAGGGCACGCAGCAGACGAAACGCAGAAGAGAAACCAATTTCGGACGTCCTATTCCCAGCCCTAACTCTATGGCTCGTGTCAGAGCCAGACCAGATCGTGGCCATGGAGGTCGGCTGCAAACCTTCTTGATTCGACGTTGACAAATGGCGGGTGTGTACACGAGGGCCAGCCAACCGCTTGTGGTTTCCGAGCAGCAGATTCGTACTAGCTCGAGCTTACCTCGTCAGCGTGACGCGACAGCAGATTTCCTGCAGCCAGGCTTCACTATTCGGTCTTGCCGGCCTTTGTGCTGGAAGCAAACCGAACCGAGCCCGGCGTAAAGTCAAAGAAGGAACCATTTGCCAGAGGTTGCAGGTAGTGATCGAAATCCGCCAGAGATCGCGGCCTCTCGTCTTTGATCATTCGCGTGTACTTCTTCATCGCTTCGTGCGTCTCTGCCACCAAAGCAGCACCTCCGAACCAGCCCTGCTCGCGCAACAAGCCTTCGGAAAGAGTCATCGAGCCGCCTACGCGAATCGAGTCCTTGATGGCTTTGATCGCATACGGACTGCGTCTGGCGAGATGCTTGACCACTCCGACCGCGGTGTCGAGCAAGTCTTCGGCTCGGCTCACTCGGTTGACCAAGCCAAGCGCCAGCGCCTCGGAAGAAGTTAGCGTCTTTCCTTCCAGGCACAATTCCAGCGCTTTGGCCGTGCCCAGGGTTCGCGAGAAGAAATGCGTCCCGCCGCCTCCCGGGATGAGGCCGATCAAGCTCTCCACTTGACCCATGACCGGCCTATCTGTGTCAACCACGATCCGGTAATCGCAAGCGAGCGCAAACTCGCAACCGCCACCAAAGCATAGACCGTTGATGGCGGCGATGAATACTTGCGGCTTGCTCCGGAACAGATTGCAAACTTCCTTGTAGAGGTTGAGATCGGCTAGACCAGCGAACAGCGTCTTTCGAGTCAGGAACCTGAGACCAAGTGACGCGATCAGACTCTCGAGACGCAGGGCAGCTCGGAGAAGCACCGGCGGGGCTGGCAGCCACGACGGCACCGAAAGTCCAAAGTCGATGATCTCGTCCACATTGTAGTGGGTCACGAAGATGTCCTCAACTCCTCCCGTCAAGATCACCGCACGTGTGGTCTTGATATCGAGTGGAGCAATGATCTCGTTCAGCTCGTCGAAGCATTGTCTATCGAGGAAGTTGTAAGGCTCATTGACGAGGCGGACGATGAAGACATCCTCTTGAGGTCGCCTCGTTTGGAGGTGTGGCGTAACTTGCTCCCAGTCCGCCATGTTGTGCTCGGGTTCTTTGTGCGCGCCCTGTCGCCAGATGGACCAAATTGATGGGGCTCAGTCTGCCCCCCTGCCACTTTCAAAGCTCGTCCTTTATACCTTCCGTCCGCTCGCCTTGCTCATCTAGAACACCCAGCATAGACGCGCACACACCCAGCCGAGGAGCATGGCAGCTTTCACCCGCGAATGCGACTTCCGCTATCGGTCGAACCGTCGGCGCTAGCAGCAATTGGCGAGAAAGAAGCTGACGGAGCTCGGCGGCAACTTTGGCTAGCGCTCATTCAACGCCACTTTTGAAGCGGCTTTTCCTCTCCACACACGGAGACTTGCTTCCTCTCGCCACCAGAGACACTGCGGACGGTCGCACTATCCACAAGAGTATGGTTCGTGTGCTCGATGTCCACAGTCTTCAGGAGGGTGTCGCGGATGATCTTGCGGAGAGATTCTCCTGTGTGACTTGGAAGCATTTTAGAGGTAGCCTTGAGACGAAGGGCCAAGTCGGTGGCGGGAGCAACGGAAAGGGTGGATTGGTGCCAATCATCCTCTTCCGAGTAAGTCACCTCGCCCATGTAGCGTTTGGACTTCTCTGCAACGTCGAAATAGCCATAGTGGACATCGCCCTTGGTATCAATGAAGCCAGGGCGCAATGGTCCTGAGGAAAGTGGAGCAACCAGCGCCAGGACGACCGATGACGAGGTCCATCTCGCCGGGTTTGGCGCAGTCGTCGAAGCCCCGAAGGAGGTTTCGCGTCTCGTAGGATCGACACCGATAAGCTTGAGGATACCAGGGATGGGGCCAACGATCTCGGAGAGAGCCATTGAAGGTACGGTTGTTACATTGAAGACCATCAAAGCAGCACCGGTGACGCAAAGGCCAGTCCATAGACACCAAGCTCCTTTCGCTCGGTGCCTATTTGGTCCTGCTGCTCCTGAACTCCAATCAACCAGTCGGGAAGGTCGAAGATCTCGGCTTTTTCAAGTCATCATCCTCGCGCTCCTCTGAGGAAAGCTGACGCGAGACGTCCAGTAATTGCCTCGGCATCCTCGAAATCAGCATGACGTTCGCTGCTCTGATCGACAGAACCATTCTCGGAATTTGGAGCAATGTGGTGACGGGCGTGCTTCTCGAACGGCGTGCGACGGTTCTATTTGGCAGCAAGGGACTCGGTGCCAGCGGCATCTTCTTGTCCGACTACAGTCTTGTTGCGATACCGATCCAGCATCAATGCGAAAGACGAAGGAGGATATAAATAGGTCGTTGAGCGCCGCGTTGACGCCGGGGAATAGCAGGAAGATGGGCGTACATCAGAACAGGGACCTCTGAGTAATTGACAGACAGCAGGCCAGTGCTCATGAAGGTTTCCCGGCAACGTGTAGGCACAAACACATGGCATTCACTCGCAGCGTTCATTGATAAATCGATTGCCTTTGCACGACTTTCTATAACCAGCGCTGCTCTATTCAGTCCATTTTCATTGTGCGAAATATCGGAATAAGGCCTCAGTTTACGTCCTAAGAACCAGCAATATTGAAGCCCAGCCGGAAAGCAGCTTTTCAAGAGCCTACTGGCTCGGCATACATCCATTGTCTGCGGGTCATTCTCTCCTCTGCAAGGGGACCACCGTCCGCAACTGGGGCCGGATATCAGCTCCGGCAAACAAGTATTGGGGACGCGGTATACGGTCTCGACTGCTCGTCTCAAGATCAGTGCAGACCTCCTCATCAGAATGTTCAAGGCGATCCAATCCACTCACGAGGCATCAACCTGTATCGCTGCGAATTATACGACATTACTAACCCTTGCGTCAAGTAAATGCGGCGATGGATGCACCAGCTCGGATTTAAACCGACCATGGTTCCGGTAGGTCTTCCACGCGACGATCCGGACTTTTTCGAGTAGGATGGCGTCATCGACATTTTGTATAACCGGCACCAGCAAATTTACGTCCAGCTGAAACGGGAGATCCAAGCTCCCACTCCATCTGCCTACCATTCCATTCCGCTTATTGCTGTCGCTGCTTTCGAGGGAAGGAAGTGCCGCGCTCTAGGCCCGTCAGCGCCGGGCTACTCAATCCCCGCAAATTCCACTGGTCTCTCGATACCGGAATATGTGATTTCGCATGAGTGTGTGTCCTGCCCGGCTCTCCTCGTAGACGCGCAGATACTTAAGGACTGCTCCGTCCGCTGCGTTCTAGATTATTGCATACCTGCCCCCCTTTTCCTCCGCAATTTCTATCCGCGAAAATGTCACTCGTCGACCAACCTGCGACATATCAAGCTTTCCGCCGGTCAGCCGATGGCAAGGCAATCCAACGGACCACGGAAGCCATGCCGAGAGCCCTTGGCTCGAAGGAGTTGCTCATCAAGGTCAACGCAGTCTCTCTCAATTACCGTGATGTCGCCATGCTGCTCGGGACTTATCCCGTTCCATGCCTTGATAACGGTATCCCGTGCTCCGACGCTTCCGGTACTGTTGTTGCCACCGGAAGTCAAGTCAAGACTTTCAAGGTCGGCGACGCTGTCTCACCAATTTTTCATCAGTTGGACACGGACAAGAAAGAGGTCAATCCTGGCGGTGAAGTCGACGGTGTACTCCGAGAGTATTTGGTGTGCCAAGAGGACCACCTTGTTCTCAACCCAGCCCACCTCACAGACGAGGAAATCAGTACGGTGCCGTGTGCCGGTGTCACGGCCTGGACTGCCTTGAACTGTGATTTGCCATCCAAGGAAGTCCATTCGGCGCTATTGCAAGGTACTGGAGGCGTGAGCATGTTTGCTTTATTGATTTGTCTGGCCCGCGGCATCAGCCCAATCATCACATCGTCATCGGACGAGAAACTCAACGCCATCGCTAAGCTCGGTCAAGAAGGCGAGATCAGGACGATCAACTACAAGACGCATAGTAATTATGACGTCGAGGTTCTAAGACTGACCGACAACGTTGGTGTTGACGTTGTTGTCAACAATGTAGGCATCACGTCGATCGAGACCTCATTGCGATCCCTTCGAAGGCGCGGAACCATATCTCTTGTCGGTTTCCTTGGAGGGATGGAGGTCGACGCCCAGCCCCACATCTACGAAGGCATTCTGCTCAAATCGTGCACTATGAGGTAAGTACAACTCGTCCTTTTGCTTCGTTTGTTATCCTGCGCCGAGTCTAGCGGATCTCGACACTAACGGCAGCCCAATCACTTTTGACCCGAATGCCAGAGGTATTGCAGTGGGTAGCAGGCAAGATCACCAATCGCTTCTTCGTTTCCTGCAAGAGCGCGATGTCTATCTCAAGACGATGATTGGCAAGATCTTCCCTTTCGAACAGGCTTCTGACGCTTTCGAGCTGATGATGTCCGGATCGAACGTCGGTCAAATCGTGATCAAGATCAACTGAAAGGCTACGGAGCGCAGGAAGCAGGTTCTCTTCCAATTGATTCATCACAAGGATGTCAATGTGGCATTCATGATTTTCGTGGCTTCCTCGAACTGATCCTTTCAAGATGACAATGTGGCATTCAGCGCTTCGGTACAAACCTCCTGTATCACCATTTGGATGGTGGTAAACGTGTGGTTACTTAACCCCTCTCGAAATCGATTGAAATCAATTGCATGACGCCAAGGCAAGTCCATAGGAGCGATTTTTTCTGAGTAGTCACAAACTCTCGTCCTTGAGATGAAAGGCACAGGCAGGGTTTCATCCGACGCGGTAGGGGGTGAGC